GGGGATTGGATAAATTTGATTTACCTCACCTACTTACTAGAGATTGGGATCGTTTATATGCATAACCCCATGTGGCAAGAAACCTTTGCTATTAAAAGTAATTAAGTGAAAATTCTCTCAAGTTAGTGTAAATAGGTTTATAATGTAGGATGATTAGGTAAAAATCTCAAAAGCATTTTATCTAATAACTTCTTAGCTTTACCATTTTTCAAATTTCGATTATAACCGATCTCAAGTTCCCATTCATAATTTTTTTTAAAACATCTATATCAAAAGTACAAACTCTAAAAATGCCACTACTACAAATATTTTCCTCTGTCACATATTATATGACTCTATTTTCGCTTTATAAAAAAGCTTCACAGTGTAACAACAATAACAACAATATATCGATGTATCTGTGGAGTATAGTGAGTATGCTATACTAATAAAATCAAATCATAAATAACATAGATAGTAATAGAAATCTATGAATATGAAAATACGAGATTAACGCTACCATTACTAGTACGAGAAGAAAGATGCTCGATTGCCTACTAATCTTACTATGTCCTGCCTAATCGCCTCTTCCAAATACTTCTTCGATCTAACTCTCCTCGTACCCACTATTATCAAACTCTCACACGTACTAAGTGAGGCTTCCACGCAATCATCTCAGCCTCGTTTTAATAAGACAAAAAATACATTTGAGGAGGCGACATTGAACAATTTGTGAGAGTTCAATGGGCAATTTGACCCTTTTCCCAAACTTCCTCTGAAATTTGAAACCAGCTCCAGAGCAAAGACGCATAGACAATACCCTAGCCAAAGGTAACTACCGTACTCCAAATCCAACTATGGTGATGAGCAAAGCTGCAAAACTACCCGAAGAAATCATAATTGACATACTTCCCCTCCTACCTGCAAAGTTCATAGGACAATATAGGTGCGTGTCAAAGCAGTGGTGTAACCTTCTCTCAGACCCACAATTCATCAAATCTCACCAAACAATCCATGCCCATAAAGGAGAAGAGAAACTCATCTATGTCTCTTAGTATCGCGAACTTCAAACTATCACGTTTAACCACAACCCCGAAAATGGAATCGATATGATCTCAAGGACGCTTAATTTGCAGCAGCTGTCAAACAGCTGGGTAAGTGTTGCTGGCTCATGTAATGGCTTGGTCTTGGTGATTAAGAGGGAAGAGGCTAAATATTTGATCAACCCCACTACCTTAGAGTACCATAAAATTCCAAATTTTGATTTGGCTCTTCCTGTGCCAGGTAGCTGTAGCATGTATGGTTTTGGGTACGATACACTTAGCGATGATTATAAGGTGGTAACTCTTTCTTATTATGATTCATTTGATGAAAATGAGCCTGCAATTATGGACACTTTTGTGGATATTTACTCTCTGAAAAAGGGTCTTTGGAAGAGACTTGAGAGTTCTCCTTATGATCATCCACTTAGTGACCGTGCTTCTGGGGTTTTGGTGAATGGGGTTTTGCATTGGTTGGTCTGTAAAACTTCTCAGTATTCATTTGTAATTGCTGCTTTTCATTTGAGTGATGAAAATTCTTGGAGGTAGCAGGACCTACTGGTCTTGGTAGTAATTACTCACTGTGTAATCTTGTGGTTCTTAGAGGATGTCTTTGTATATTCACCGGTATAGGTAAAGACATGGACACAGTTACATGTTGGATGATGAAAGAGTATGGGGTTAAGGAGTCTTGGACCAAATTTACGATTACAGAACCAAATTTAGATAGATCTATGTGTACACTATTGTGTTCAGTGACTGATGATGATGTTCTATTGGATATTGAAGAAGAGTTGGTTGTATACAATATGAAAGAGAATCAACGTAGGGATCTGATGGTTGATGCATCCCCTATTATGTGTGAAGCTCGAACCTTTATGGATAGTCTTGTCTCTCCTTCCTTTGTCGAAGGAAACTGAGGGCTAATCTATTGTTTGATGCGCGAGATGATTCTGTATACAGGTATTACGAGAACATTTTCCGTTGTATTATCCACCTTTATTCTCTTTCTCCATTAGATTATTCAAAAGCGGTTGTATTTCAACAGTACTATCAAGGACGCACCTTTAGCCAAATAAGTTGCCTTTCTAAGGAGTATAGCCAGTTTTTATTTTTTATTTTTCTCAAGCTGCTATCATGTTACAAATATAGTCTATTAACCTCTAGGATGTAGCCTAAAGTGTAAACTACAACATTTCATGGCTTTACATCGGTTTATTGTAATGCTGCATAACACCTTTCATCAATTTGCCGTAACAGGATATTAACTCATATCGACCAATCAAATTTGTTGAATAATTAGTAATCATCTAGATTCTTATATTGATAAATCGAATTCACATTGTTCTGATGCTTGCACAGAAATTAAACTGCTTCCTCTTAGTTCAAGCTGTTTCTTAAAGATTGTTCATCATTCACTGTCTGAGGCCTCCAGAAATTACATTGCGCTTCATCATGTCTTGGTTCATTGTCATTCTGACGTCGTAGAGAATTGAGAATTCAAAGTTTTGTTAATTATTTGAAGTGAAATGTCATTGTAAATTTAGTATCTTACGACGAAAACAATGTGAAAAATTAAGGTCACTTTTGGATAGGGTAACTTTGTTGAGTGTAGTATGTCTTAATTTTCCGCAAGGGATGTGATGGATAGAATATTTGGATGTGAGAATTTCTTATCTTAATGTTGCTTGTATATATCATTTAATTTTTTGTTGCTTTTGGCATTATATTATGCTTCATGTTAGATTATATATTAGGACATATTTGTCTAAAGAAGAGTTGAGTCAAGTCATTGCTTCTTGGTACTGTCATAAATTAAATTACTCTTACCTGATTAAAAAAAAAAAAGAGAATTGAGTCGAGTCATTCATCTCTTTATCCAGGTCTAAGTCCTTTAGAATCTTGGCAATTCATGCTAGAGTGGGTTCAAGACTCAGTTTAGTTGAGCATTTAGCAAACTAGTTATGTTGAGATAAATGCTGAATTCACAGATAGGTTCCAAAAAGTGTTATATGAACAAAAAATCCCACAATATTTGAGGACAGATAACACAAAATATATTACAACTCATGAGCTGAAAGGAAGTACCTTTTTTTCTTTCCTGATAAGGTAAAATTTGTACCAAGCTGGTAGAAAAGAAAACAGAATTCATGCAAAGACCAACCAGACAAGCTGCTACTCTTTTCTTCCTAACAACTCTAGAAAATCCATGTATTGGTCCATGCTAACTAATAGATCGCGTTTCACCAGAAAATCAGATTATGCAACATATATTCTTGACTCTAGAAATATGATATCTATGTCCAACAAAGCTTGTCCTTCAAAAAGCTTTGTTCCTCTCCATCCATAAGGTCCATAAGATGCAAAGTGGGATGGTCTTCCATATCTGCTTCAGCCCTCTGGAAACCCTTTGAGACTGCCAATTTCTAATAATACCCTTACATCTTTAGGCATTGCCCATAAGATACCACGTCTGTTCAGAAAAAGTTCCCAACAGTGTTTAGAGAATTTGCAATGAAGGAATAGATGATCAACTGCTTCCTGATATTCCTCACATAAGTAGCATCTACTGCACAGAGAAAAGCCCCTCTTCTGCAAGTTGCTTTATACATGCTCCCCAGGTTGCAGTCCTTTCTAAACATGCTACCTTAACTGGAGCATTTGTTTTCCAAATCATCTTCCAATGACCTAACTCCTTTAACAGCATGCTGTAACAACTTTTAACTGAGAATAATTTATCTTTACTAGCTGTCCAACTCAAGGAATCCACCCGACTTTGATTAATCTGGACTGAGTTCACCTGCTAGAGTATCTGACAAAAATCTTCTAGTTCCCCATGATTCAAATTTCTTCTAAAACCTATCTGCCACTAAATTAAAAACTTCAAAGGCTGACTGGAACTGCCACTAAAAACATCCAAAACAGAGCTGAAAGCTAGCACTTTCTTAAGATAAAAAACCATATGAAGTTCTTTTCACTTGTCTTTGGAAAGAGGGCCCTCATTTTTGCTCTAGCAATTGGCAATTTTTGATAGAATTTAATCAATCCCACAACTTTGCAGTACTGTAGAACTCCAATTTTTCATTTTAATCTTCCCATTCCTGGTAGCTATAACATGTCTGGTCTAGGCTGTGATTTTGCTGTGATGATTATAAGGCGGTTACTCTTTCCTTTTATTACACTGTTATTGAGCATGAAAATCTGGACACTTTTGTGGATATCTACTCTGCGAGAATGGGTGTATGGAGGAGATCTCAGAGTTTAACTTATGATCATGAAGCTCCTTTGCGCTATTCTGTGATTTTGGTAAATGGTGCTTTGCATTGGTTGACTATAAAAACTCCTAATAATTCATAGATAATTGTTGCTTTTGATTTAATTGATAAGAAATTGTTGGATGTGCCAGCACCTACTACCCTTGATAAAGGTTATTGTGCTTGGATTAAGCTTGTGGGTCTTAGAGGATGTCTTTGTATGTTCACTTGGACTCAAGAAATCAACATTGGTATCTAGACAATGAGAGAGTATCCAGTTAAGGAGTCCTGGACCAGATTTAAGATTACAGGACCTAATATAGATTATGGTATGAGTCTTTGCCGTCCCTTGTGTTTAATGAGTGATGATGATGTTGTATTGGATGTGGATGGAGACAAGTTGATTGTCTACAATGTGAAAGAAGATCAGTGGAGGTATATGATGGTTGATGGAATAACTACTATGTGTGAAGGAACTAAAACTTTCATGGGAAGTCTTGTCTGTCCTACGTTTGACAAGGACATTGATGGTAACTTCATTACTTGATGCAAAATTCTAAAATGATGTTGTATTCAGGTATGAGACAGACATTTTCACGATTTCTCATTCATTTTGGTGTATTTTGTTTAATATGTTTAATTTGGTTCCCATATTTAATTCAATAAAACAAATCCCATAGAGTATCGTGAATGGTAATTCTTTCCTCATAGAGCCTAAGTTGCGTGGACTCTTCATTTGTGGTGTCGCACCGGCGTCGACACGATACCAACACTAGTATTAGTATAGGATACGTATCGGATCCGGTCGATCAACATTGAGCAATTTGACCACATACAGAGAAATTAGAGATAAGATTTGGCAAGTTGATTTCTCAAGACAACATCTACTCTAGATCTCTAGATAGTTACCTATAACTTAGAGAACAAAAGATTGAGTTACTGCACTCTACAAGTTAATGTAAATTTTCCACATAATGTCTCATATTTAGGCATATTTTTGTAGCTCTATTTTTAAATATTGCCAAGTCTTGCACCCGTATCTGTACCTGGATCTGTATCTTAAATTTAGATCACGAACAATCCGACCTCTAGATCCGCACACATATTGGATACCCGCACCCGAGTCCAAGCAACTTAGCATAGAGCTTTGTGATGGTAATTCTTCTATCGTGAAGAAAATATACAATGATTGACTGAATCAATTAAAAAGGGAAATGCTTGGAATTGTAACTTGCTTCAATTCAACATCATAGAATGGTGGCTATTTAAGGAAAAGGAATAGTTCAATTTTGAGCACATGCAGTCTTGAAAAGTAATAGTTTTAGATGTTTTGACTCTTCTTTGAATCACAAGTAACTCATGTAAAATTATTGTTGGCCACTCTATGGATACTGTTTTAAGCAATACCAATGGTAGAACTGTGATCTAGCTGCTCTAGAAACCCAAAAAAAAAAAAAATTAAAAATTAAGTTGTCTGCCTCCTTGGTTGTATAATTGTCAAGATCTATCACTACAAAGACTCTTACGATAGATAATGGTAGCTGTTTACCTCCTTGATTGTAATTGTTAAAGTCTATCACTACAAAGACTCTTAAGATTTATATTGGGTAAGCCGTTTACCTCCTTGATTGTTAGTTGTCAAGATCTATCACTAAAAAGACTCTTAAGATAGATATCAGGTTTATCACAACTTTAGAAGCTAACCACCCTGCTGGTTAGCGGTTCATCGTATTTTCTATTACTACAAAACTCTCAAGACAGATATCTGTATTAACAATACATTGATAAGAGTAACTAACAATGAAAAAAGGCCTTTAAAGTAAACAGCCTCAGGTTATTGTTCAAGAATCTATGGCATAACAATCCCTATGTTATTATTATACAATCCATATATTGTCAGTTCTGTATAACTAGCCTGTAAGCCTAAGGACCCTTTGGATTCATTGATTCAAGAACATACCCTAGTTTAACAAATCCACTGCAGGATTATCCTAGTAGTTTCTCCTCTAAATCCAACTATATGGCAATGAGCAAAGCTGAAATCGCACCCCAAGAAATTATAACTTACTCACCCGACTGCCTGCAAAGTTCATCTGCCAATATAGGTGCGTGTCAACTGGGTAAGTGTTGCTCTCTCATGTTATGGCTTGGTCTTGGTGGTGAATAACAAAACTATTAATGTTTCAATCAAACCCACAACCTTAAAGCTCCATACGGTTCCAAACTTTCATTTGGCTCTTCCTCTTCCTGTGCCTCGTAACTTAGCCACAACTTTGTAGAAGCTTCCTACTAGGCCAATTGGTCTAAAAATCTTTCAACTCCCTGGCTGCCTTCCTTTTGGGGATAAGAGCAATGTATGTAGCCTTAAAACTCTATTCAAGCTTCTCTTGTTTATGAAATACTGAATCGCCTTCAGAATATCTTCTTTCACAATTGACTAACATTTTTGGAAGAAACCCATGGTGTATCCACCTCGGCCTGGAGCTTTATCGCAGGCACACTGGTTAATGACATCAAGTACTTCCTCATCTTTAAACATTCTCGGGTTTTAGTGTTAACTTTCTAATTTTCTTTTTCTGTAGTGATTTTTGAATTTGGTCCCCATATTTGATTCACTAAAATCATTGCTACTGACTCAGAGTCTTGTGAATGGTAATTTCCTTCCTGAAGAAATCTTTTAATAAGAATTCTTCCTTCCTGAAGAAGATACAGTGATTAATTCATCAGAAAATATACAGTGGTAGGAGGAGAACCATAGATTCCCCGGTTAGGAGGAGCGAGCGGTTGGCTTTGGCAGGTACGAGAAGAGGTAGAGGGCGGCCTAAGAAGAATTGGGGCGAGGTGATCAGGCAAGACATGACGCGTCTTCAGATTTCCGAGGACATGGCTCTTGATAGGAACGCGTGGAGGTCGAGCATTAGGGTTGTAGGCTAGGGGGTAGTGCATAGTTTTTCCCTCTTTGTACCGGGTAGTATGATAGAGCTTTGCCTATGTTTGGTAGCGGTCTATGTTGTGTTCACACTATTTTGTTGTTTTGCATAGGATTGTATTACTGCACTCCCTTTCACTTATTTGGTGTATTTTAAGATATTATTATTACTTCTCTTGCTTCTTTTGTTGTTACAGATCTCTTCTTGCATTTTTTTCCTGATATTATTATCTCTTCTGTTGAGCCGAGGGTCTCCCGGAAACAACCTCTCTACCTTTCCGGGGTAGGGGTAAGTTCTGCGTACATCATACCCTTCCCAGACCCCACTAGTGAGATTTTATTGGGTATGTTGTTGTTGCTGGAAAATATACAATGGTAAACTGTATTACATAAAGTAGTCACGCATGCACATCGTACTTGAATTGGTGTTGATTCAGCATTATTGGATGCTGCTGCTTTAAGGAAGAAAAACAGTTAACTTTGAGCATATGCAGTCTTGAAAGAAAGTTTTAAATGTTTAGGCCCTTCTCTGAATCATAAGCTAATCTGTCAACTTGAATTATTGTCGGTTCATCTTCTGTGCTTTACATTTTTAAGCAATGTGAGGGTAAACTATTATGTAGCTGCTCAAAATTCTGGAAAAGAGTTTATATCATCTATCTCCTTGATTATGAATACCGAGACTCTAAAGATCGAGATTTGGCAGTACTTATCGCTTAAGAAGGTAACTATAGACGGAGCGAATGCTTAATTTATTTGCTACAGTATGAGTGGATTGTTGGTAGTAGTATCCACCTTTGTCATCTTTCTCCTCAAGATTATTCAAAAGCTGCTGTTTTTGGCTTTGTTTAGGACTCTAGGGAAAACTATGCTTGCATTTCTAATTTCTAAGTATCAAAGATGCACCTTTAGCTAAATCATTGGCCTTTTTAATCCAATAAAAGTATTATTTAAACTACAAAAACTCATTGTTACAAGGCAAGGATAATTTAAACCATTGAAGAGAAACTCCCAAATTTGTGAGTCTTCCGTGAACCTTGAACCTGTTCTTCTTTTCCCTCTTTTTGTTTCAGCCTGTCATCAAAGTAACATAAACTTGAGTGAAAAAATTACCTGAGTCTGGCATAAAAAGGGTATAGTCAACTCTTAATCAAACTTATCATATATCGATTTCTTGTAATGCCACATAATACCAAATTGATTTTGTTCTGTTGCTTGCACAGGAATTAATCTGCTTCTGGTGCTTCTATTGATTGGAATGTTGTGTTTGTGCAGAGGCCAGAATCTCTATATACTTTAATCCCAAGGGTGTTACTCTTTCATTATGATGTTGCAACTGTTACAATTTCAAAACTGAAGACAAATCACCATGATAGAACAAGAGTATTCGAGGAAAACCTGCACTTATGATTTGAATATGGTGAAGTACACAAAAGCAGTACTACAGAAAACGTCTCGAGAAAAGTTCCCTTTTGAGAAACCCCCTCATACTTGAGTTTTGTATTGTTGACTGTCTATATCTCAGTTGAGTTTCTCGACATTAGATGAGTAGATGATCTGAGTAAGTATTTGCATACTCATTTGACAAGAGGTGTTCTAATGTTTCCAATCATGTTAAAGCAGCAATATTGTCCTTTGTGTTGCAATATCAAAATTTCTAGCTCTGTTGTATGTTTTATTGCTTATCAGATATAACTGTGCTCTGGCTTTAGTTTCACTGTTCCTTGAGCCGAGAGTCTACCGGAAACAACCTCTCTATCATTGTAAGGTAAGGGTAAGGTCTGCTTATATACTACCCTCCCCAGGCCCCACTTGTGGGATTACACTAGGTTTGTTGTTGCTGTTGTATATAAATGTGCTCGATAGAGCAAAAATGACAAGCAAATTCAAATCAGTGCAAGTCAATAGAATAGTTGCATAGATTGAGATGTGAATGCAAAGCAAATGTCTGGAAAGTTAGCTCTGACTCTTAGCTCTCGTTTTCCCATTTTAACATCTTTACTTGACAAAATGAGTATTTGTAAACATCTCTAGCTGATAATCATCCATACATTTGTTTAGGTAATATAGCTAAAGGGCGTGGATTTCACATTGATATGGCTAAAATAGGGGAAGGATGACGGTCAAAATCGAGACGGAATCGGTGTGGTTTTGGAGTATATTTTTAAATAAAATAAAAATATATGACACTTATTTGATGTGGACGCTAATGTGTTAGGGGCATCTATTACTTCTTATGTCCCCAAAAAAATTATACATCTTGGATATGAGGAGTCAAACGAGTTTCTTTTTTTTATCACAACTTTTTAACATGCCTTTTAAAATTTTGAATTATTTTGACCTGTAATACTTTTTATGTAGTTTCTAACTTTGTAAATTTTATTTCAAAAAATTTAATAATTTAATATCCGGTCAAAATTTAAAAACTTAACTCTCGAAATATATCATTTTCTTTACGACAGATGAAGTAATTCTTATTTGGCAGAAAAAAGATGCAATCAGAAATCGCAGTTCGAACACTCCCAATTTTGGGAGAAATTAAAAAAATAGCCAGATTTACAAGTGATCATTCAAAAATTGCCACAGTTTCAAAAGTAATCAAAATTTAGCCACTTTTCATGTAAAGATAAATCTGAACGAAAACACTGTTCAAAATCCAGAATAATACTCCAGTATAATATACTGGATACCGTTCCAGCATAATATATTGGAGATTGGAGCACCGGCACTCCAATCTCCAGTATATTATACTGGAACTTTTCGCATGTTAGAGTTCCAGCATAATGTGCTGGAAGTTCATACACAGGTGCACCGATATCCAGTATATTATGCTGGAACTTTCCATGTTGCAGCAAAATAGTGGCTATTTTTCAATGACTTTGAAAACAATGGCTATTTTTGAATGACCAGTCCGAAAACTGGCTAGCCCGTGCTATTTTTACTCCAATTTTCGGTAAAAATAGCACGATATAGCCAATTTTCGGATCATTCAAAAATAGCCAGCGTTTACGAAGTAAATGAAAAATAGCCACTATTTTGTTGCAACAGAGACCGGTCTAGCATAATATACTAGAGTTCGGTACACTTGTGTATGAACTCCAGCATATTATGCTGGACCGGTATACTTTGCTGATTCCAGTATAATATACTGGAGACTAGAACAACTGTGCTCCAAACTCCAATATATTATACTTGACAATTATACTTGCTGGAACTCCAATATATTATGCTGGAGTTCTAGTGTACTTATGCTGGAACTTCATCATATTATGCTGGAGTTCCAGCATACTTATCCTGAAACTCCAGTATAATATGCTGGAGTTCAAGCATACTTATGCTGGAACTCCAGTATAATATACTGACGTATTTTTCGGGATTTAAAAAATATTTTCGCTCAAATTTATCTTTACATGAAACGTGGCTAAATTTCGATTACTTTTAAACTATGCATATAAATCTGGCTATTTTTGAATTCCTCCCCAATTTTCTTTGAGGTCAGCCCAGGAGCAGAAAATGCCCTAGTCAAAGAACGCCACTTTAGGTGCTTCTACAGTTTTTCCTCCAAACCCAACTATGGCAAACAGCAATGCTGCTGCAAAAATACTTGAAGAAATCATATATGACATATTTACCCGGCTGCCTGCTAAGTCCATAGGTCATTTTAGGTGTGTATCAAAGCACTGGTGTTCTCTTCTCTCAGACCCAAAGTTCATCAAAATTCACCTCACTCTCCATTCCCACAAACATCTAGTGGATAAGCTCATTGTTGCTAGTCATTTTCTTCATACTATCACCTTTACCCACGACGCCCAAGGTGAAATTGATGTCATATCAAGAAAGCTTGATTTTCAGCAGCTCTCAGACCACTGGTTAAGTGTTGATGGCTCATGTAATGGCTTGGTATTGGCGATTCGTAGGGGAGAGGCTAAATATTTGATCAACCCCACCACCTTAAAGTACCATAAAATTCCAAATTTTGATTTGGCTCTTCCTGTATCAGATAGCTGTAGCATGTATGGTTTTGGGTACGATGTTGTTAATGATGATTATAAGGTGGTTGCTCTTTCTTACTATGATATAGATGAGCCTGATATAGTTGATACTTTTGTGGATATTTACTTTTTGAGAAAGGGTCTTTGGAAGAGACTTGGGAGTTCCCCTTATGATCATTCACTTACTGACCCTGCGTCTGGGGTTTTGGTAAATGGGGCTTTGCATTGGTTGGTTAGTAGAACTTCTAATAATCCATGTGTACTTGTTGCTTTTGATTTAAGTGATGAGACATTCTTGGAGGTACCAGTACCTCCTACGGATTACAATTACTCTTTTTTTGAACTTGTGCCTCTTAGAGGACGTCTTTGTATGTTCACCAGTTTAAGTAAAGACACAATAACAATCTGTTTGATGGAAGACTATGGGGTTAACGTGTCTTGGACCATATTTAGGCAAATTTACATGATTCTCCTTGTACACCATTGTGTTCAATGACTGATGATGATTTTGTAATGGAGGTTGACGAAAAGTTGGTTGTCTACAACATGAAAGAGGATGATTTGTGGGATCTGGGGGTTGATGTTAGTTCTGATATGCATACAGCTCGAACCTTCGTTGAAAGTCTTGTCTGTCCTTCCTTTGGCAATGGAACCGAGGGTTAATATAATGCTTGATGCGCGAAATGGTTGTCTGTACAGGTATTACAAAAACATTTTCACGTTTTCTTATTCATTTTTAGTCTTTATAGAGATTTTTGAATTTGGTCCCCATATTTGATTCAATAAAATGAATGCTACTGGCCCATATAATTTTGTGAATGGCAATTCTTCTATCACGGAGAAAATATACAGTGAAGACTTTATTTGAAAATATGGTGGTTCACAAAATAATCCATCTTTTCTCCGGTTTTTTAGATTTGTAATGAGAAGTATAATGAATAATTTTTACAGTGGGGTCGGGAAAAGGTAGGGTGTATGCAACCTTGCCCTTACCTTTTATGAGGTAAATAAGTTGTTTCCAATAGACCCTTGGCTCAAGAAAACTGTTTTCAAAACAAGTTTGAAAATGCAAGAGTAAAAAGTATAAGATGAAATTATTGAAGAAAAGAAAAATACTGATAGTAAATATAGTAAAGATAACCAAATTAAAAGAAACAACAATAGTAATAAAATTGAATAATAAGATAATAACTGATTAATAATAATACTGATAAGGAGAATAGGGAGCAAATAAGGTGCTCTAAACTAGGACCAAGCTCTCCCGTAGAAAAGAGAGAAATTGCTCGACTATCTACTAACCTTCTATGCTAATCTTCAATGCCTATGCTCTCCTATTTAGGGTTATTGTCCTTGGTGAGCTGAAGATGTATCATGTTCAGTTTAATCATCTTTCCCCAATTCTTGCTCGGTTTACCTCTACCCCTTCTCATTTTTATCCCCTTGTTGACCAAGCAAGGTCGCACGAGAACACCAACGGAACACTCTCTTATTGGTGGCACATATGCTGTCTCGAAAGGAAGTGTTAAATGCTCCGTCTCTTCTCTGAATCATGAGCTAATCTGAGAATAAAGTAACTCATCTTCTGTGCTATACATTTTTAAGCAATGTGAGGGTAAAACTGCTATCTAGCTGCTTTAAATTCCGGAGAAGAAGTTTATATGGTCTATCTCCTTGATTTTGACCCTAAAGACTATAGATCAAGCTGCTACAAAATGAACGTAGTGTTAAATGAGCATATTAGAGTTAAAATTTTAAGTTTTTTATGTTATATTCTCTAGTATTATTTATAAAAACATTATAATATTATCTTAATTCTTAACTATATGAGAATATAACATAAGAATCTTAAAATTTCAACTCTAATATGCTAATTTAACACTATGTCTCCCCAAAACCCCAACGCCCCTGCAAAAATTGGTTTAATTAACTAGAATTAATAGTCGAGGGTAAAGGGCATCATTTCATGGCTTTACATTGGTTTCTTGAACTGCCACATATAACCGTATTGACACTGTTTTGATGCTTGCATAGGAATTAAGTTTCCGCGGACATGTCCTGGTGCACAAGGTAGGGATAAGGTCTGCGTACACACTACCCTCCCCAGATCCTACTATGTGGGATATATGGGGTATGTTGTTGTTGGACCTGTCCTGGTGCTTCTATTGAATGCAATGTTGTGTTTGTGCAGAGGCCTCAATCTCTAAATAATTTTATCTCAAGGGTGTTATTTCTTCAGTATGATGTTATACAATCATTATGATTTCACATCTGAAGAAAGATCACCATGATCGGAGAGTTTTCAAGAGAGACTTACATTTGTGGTTTGTATCTGGTGTAGTACAAGCACTGCAACACCATCCGGAGAAAAGTCCCCTTTTGAGCAAACTTGAAGATTTATTTGTCGAATGCTTATATCTCCGCTAAGTTTCTCAACATTGGAATGATGCATGCTCATTTGACAAGAGGGTTTACATTATGTTTTCCTATCATGTGAAAGCAGCAACATTTTCCTTTATATTGCAGTACCAAAAATTCTAACTTTGTTATGTTTTAGCTTATCAGAAATACCTGTGTCTAATTCTCTTCTTTCTGTTGGTGGAAGATGTTACAAATCACCTATCTCCTGGTGTGCTGTTGCCACTAGAATAGGTAAAATAAGAAGTTTAACATTAAAGAGTTTCCAAATATAAATAGATGGCATTTTTCTTAAGAAACGATAAAGAGAGTCCTATAAAGTAGAACAGATGGAGTATGAGGTTATTTAGGTTTATAAACCCAATATCTAAAGGGTGAAAATCATTTTCGCCCTCCAGTTTTGTGTTAACAATAAAAAATTCTCTTCCAATTTTTGAAAATAGACATTTTCTCCGTCATATCCTACTCAACATCTATTTTGCCTTGCCAAAAACTGGAAGACATGATAGGCAGCCGACGACATGGCCCTGCTTAACTTATACATTGGGGTTGAAAACCGTATCAAACTGAAATGTTAAACCAAATCGATTAAAAATTCGATTAGGAATTGATTTGATTTGGCTTGGTATTAAGTAAAAAAATTCAAACCAAACCGACATATAAATATATAATATATAATTTTTATATATACTTTTAAGATTTTTTATAAAATTTTCTTTAAAGAATATCTAAACATATTTGTGATTCTCTTATGGGATGTAATAATTTATATGAAGTGCTCCATATTTATTAACTTTAAATAATGGGCTGTATAATCACTTCCTTATCAAGTGTTAGTGAAATGCGTCAATCTCTTTGTTCTTCCATATTCATATGTCAAGATCTATTAAATCACCTTGTTGTCTTGTTCTTATTCTGCTTTTATATGGCTTTTTGGTACTGTTCCTTCTTGTCTATATTTTCATTAATGTGGTGCTTATGCTTTCCTAACATCCTCTCTATCCTCACAAGGTAGGGGTAAGGTATTCGTACACACTACTCTTCCCAGACCCCACAGTGTGAGATATTACTGGGTATGTTGTTGTTGTTGTTGTTGTTGTTGTTGTTGTAAGATCTATTAAGTTCTTATATCTTTTTCGAATTTGAAATGGTATTTCGAAAATTTAAAATTAAATAGAACATATCATTTTATAGATTCATATTTATTTTTATGTTTAATTATTAAATTCGATTAACCTTGAAAGTGTACATCAACGTAAAATTGTTGTTAGACGACTAAGAAATAACTATCATGTATTACTAAGAAAATTTTTCCATAAGAATATTTTAATAGATCATATATTTGTCAACTTTTTCAATTTTTACTAAACATTTATTTATAAAAATTTAACAAAGTAAGATTGAATAATATTCATATAACAAAATACCCGAAAAAATACGATAAAACCGAAACAATCCAAACTGATATAGTTGGTTTGGTTTGGTTTTGATAAAAATCGAACCAACTCGGTCCATGTACACTCCGACATATACATAATTGAACACATATTGAAAGATGTTGATAAAATGACACCTCCGAGTAGTGGGTACCTCGTAGGACCTTGACCCTATGGGGCAACTTATTGAGGCTAACGGAAAAATCTGTAGATAAAATATTTGATGAGAAAGAAAATTGGTCCATTTTCAAAACTACAAGCAAACTCTCTGTCAGGTGTATCTACCTTACCTTAACTTGTTAGAGTCAATTTGGAACATAAAGGAATGAGTTCAACAAGAAAAGGCCACTTGATTTCAATATAACAAAGTTGTGAAAGTCTTTTGTTGTATTTTTATTTTTAATATCCTACTTAGTCTTTCAATGAGTATGCCTTGGCATCGTGTTTTATACCGTTGTATTAATGATCCTGGTCGGTTAATTTATGTTCATATAATGCGTGATTCTCTGATTGTTGATCGAGCCGATTCGATGACTTTATATGAATTAGCGATTTTGATTTTTGATACTTTTGATCTTATTCTTGATCCAATGTGGAGACAAGGTAGCGTACATGCATAGTAGCTAGTCAGTGGGGGTTAAGAGAGTGCTTTGTTAGTGTTCTCGGTCTTAGAGCAACCTTATTTGATCAACATCGGGATATAAAACGAGCAAGTTCTCGTCCCATATACTAAGTCTAACTACTCCATGTAATTTGGCTCAATCTCTCAGTACCATCACCACCACCAGAACCTGAGCCCGACACACATAGAAGGATTTAAATATAATGTATTTTCTATATCCATAGACTAGTTTATCATTTACAAGTGATGAATACGAAGAGAATTGATCTAGGAAAACATGTCAATATGACGTATAATCAATGTTTGCCGTAATATTTCCATTGACTGTTACTGAGTACAAATGATGAACTTCTGTACTTTGAGATTACTCAAATTTTACCATCTCATCCATAAAAGAAAAATGTATTTTTATTCAATTCTTCTTCAACTATTTTTAAATAAAATAAAAATATTTGAGTGACAACTTTAAAAATGGGGACAACTAAAAGCGTCAATTTAGATATTTGACCTTTCCTAAAATTTAAAAGCAAATGTACCCTTGCAATCACAAATCGAGTGTCTAACACTTATATACTTTCTTTGAAGTAGGAGTGAGCATAGTTTGGGCAAATAAGAAATTCAAATTGAAATCTGATTTTTTTGAATTTTTGAATTGCGGATTGGATTTCGAATTAGATGTTGGATTTGGTACTTTAAATTTTTGGATATTAGAAAATTAGAATTTTTTATACTTTATTTAGTTCATTATCCATATACAAATAATAATAAGTTCGATATCCTACCCATTATAAATTATCTCATATTCAATATTAATTACTAAGTTACTCGCAGAATATTTTCTATTTGGACATGATTTTACTTTTGCTATTTCTTATCGGCCTTATTAATGTCTCTGTTGTATTTTCTTGATGATGATTTAATTATTCGAATACTTTATTTAAATAATTATAGTGAGAATGACGAACTTTGTAATTTAACATGGCAAAATACCTTAAACCACCCCTAAACTTGGCTCAGATTATTAGTATCCTCCATGAACTATGCCCGGTCTTAATTACCCCCCTCAACTTGGCCTTTTGAGGGTAATTACCTCCCTAAACGCTGATGTGGCAAAAAGTGTAGGTGCACTCGCCTGCCACGTGGATTTTTCTGTCTATGTGACATTTTTTTTAAAAATAAAATGTTTTTTACCCTTTAAGAATATTACTTTTTTAGATAGTTTTTTTCGAATAAAATTTATAATAAAACTTGGATATAACTACATAATTTATGCTAAATATTTTTATTTGTCCAAAAATAATAAAGTTTTAGTTAATCTTTTTTTGAATTTGACCTGAAAATAAAGATTTATATAATTGAAATAAATAGTCAAGGCATCTAAAAAAGTTATAAAAAATACACAATTGAAATAAATAGTCATTGCATCAAAAGAAGAAATAAAAAGAGTGTAGAATTGCACTTGTAATCTTCAATTATACACTCGTTTTATTTCCTCTTTTGATGCAATGACTATTTATTTCAACTGTGTATTTTTACTTTTATAGGTAAAATCTGTAAAAAAAAAAAGTAAAATAAAATTAGAGCACAGTAATTTAGAGCTATATAAAAATTTATAGCCAAAATAATTAATTTCAAACTATGTATTTTTTATAACTTTAAAGATGCCTTAACTATTTATTTCAATTGTATAAATCTTTATTTTCAGGTTAACTTCGAAAAAAGATTAACTGAAACTTTATTATTTTTGGCCAAATAAAAATATTTAGCCTAAATAATGTAGTTATATCCAAGTTTTATTATAAATTGTATTCGAAAATTTTTATCTAAAAAGTAATATTCTTAAAAAGTAAAAAACTAATTTTTCTTCAAAAAAATGCCACATAGGTAGAAAAATCTACATGGCAGGTGAGTGCACACACATTTTTTGCCACATTAGCGTCTAGGGGGTAATGACTCTCAAAAGGCCAAGTTGAGAGGGTAATTAAGACTAAGCATAGTTCGGGGATGCTACTAATAATCTGAGCCAAGTTTAGGGGTGATTTAAGGTATTTCGCCATTTAACATAAATGCTTTCTTTGGATATTAATTTTTATGACAAGAAGAAGTATATCAATTTATAGGTGCAAAACCAAAAATCCAAAATATTCAAATCAATTAATTCAAAACCGAATTTAAAAAATCAGATCATTTAGATTGAATATTATATTGTCAATATCTAAACGGAAATTTTTATATCTTACTCGAACTGCCCGCCCACCCCTACTTTGAAGTTTAGCAAAAGCATTTAGTTAAAACCCTAATCCGCACTTCAGAGACTCCGTAGTTTCTCCTCCAAATTCACCTAACTATGGCAAGGAACAACGCTGCAAAAATACCTGAAGAAATCATATTTGACATACTATTGTGGCTGCCTGCAAAGTTCATAGGCCAATTTAGGTGCGTGTCAAAGCAATGGCGCAAATTTCTCTCAGACCCACAATTCATTAAAGCTCACCTTGCTCTCCATTCCCACAAACATGAAGAAGATAAGCTCATTGTTGTTGATTGTTCTCTTCTCACTATCACCTTTACCCACAATCCCAAAGATGATTTTGATGCCATATCAAGAAAGCTTGATTTCAGCAACTCTCAAACAATTGGGTAAGTGTTGATGGCTCATGTAATGGCTTGGCCTTGGCGATTAATAGGGAAGGTGTGAAATATTTGATCAACCCCACTACCTTAAAGTACCATAAAATTCCAAATTTTCATTTGGCTCTTCCTGTGCCGGGTAGTTTTAGCATGTACGGTTTAGGGTACGATGTCATTAGTGATGATTATAAGGTGGTTACGATTTTTTATTATAATGATGTGGATGAGACTGTTATAGTTGACACTTTTGTGGATATTTACTCTGTGAGAAAGGGTCTTTGGACGAGACTTGAGATTTCTCGTTATGATCATTCAGTAACTGACCTTGCTTCTGGGGTTTTGGTAAATGGGGCTTTTCATTGGTTGGCTAGTAGTAAAACTTCTGATGAGTCATGTGTAATTGCTGCTTTTCATTTAAGTGATGAGAAATTCTTGGAGGTGCCAGTACCTTCTATGGATTACAATTACTCTTTGTTTGAACTTGTGGCTCTTCGAGGGCGTCTTTGCATGTTCACCAATTTAACTGTAGACACAATCACGATCTGTTTGATGGAAGACTATGGGGTTAAGGAGTCTTGGACCATATTTAGGCTTATGGCACCGAGTTTACATGATTATTTTTGGACACCATTGTGTTCAATGACTGATGATGATATTGTAATGGATGTCGAAGAAAAGTTGGTTCTCTACAATATGAAAGAGAATGAGTTGTGGGATCTGATAGTTGATGTAAGTCCTTCTTTGTATAAAACTCGAACCTTCATAGAAAGTCTTGTCTGTCCTTCCTTTGGCAATGGAACCGAGGGTCAATATAATGCTTGATGCGCGAAATGATTGTCTGGATAATGCTTGTCTGTATCCAGGTATTACAAAGACATTTTCACGTTTTCTTGTTCATTTTTTATAATCTTTAGTGTGATTTTTGAATTTGGTCCCCTATATATGATTCGGTAAAATGAATGCTACTTGCCCGTAGAGTTTTCTGTATGAAAATCCTTCCTTCCTGGAGAAAATATACAGTGATTACTTTATCTGAAAATATACAGTGGTTCGCAAAATAATACTTGTTTTCCAGTTTATTAGATTTGTAATGTGAAGTATAAGAAGAGTAATTTAACTTTGAGCATATGCTGTCTTTAAAGGAAGTGTTAAATGTTTCATCTCTTCTCTAAATCATGAGCTAATCTGAGAATAAAGTAACTCATCTAGAATTATTTTTGGCTCATCTTCTGTGCTTTACATTTTAAAGCAATGTGAGGGTAAAACTGCTATCTAGCTGCTTTAAATTCTGGAGAAGAAGTTTATATTGTCTATCTCCTTGATTTAGACTCTAAAGACTTTATAGATCAGGATTTGGTATTACTTATCGTATAAGAAGTTTAGAAAGCGAATACTTGCTGAATTCTTGATGCAGAAATATGCTGTTAATTTCAGGTTTTAACTTATTTGCCGATGAGAGGGGTTGCTCAGATGGTCAGCACTCACCACCTACAATCCCAGGGTTGTGGGTTCGAGTCACCAAAAGAGCAATAGCTCCAACAAAAAGGGATCAACGGGGAATCAAAGGGGAGGGAAAAAATATTTGCTAATTATCCACCTTTCTCCTCTTTCTCCTGTAGATTATTCAAAAGCCGCTGTATTTGCTTTGTCTAGAGAAACTATGCTTGCCGTTCTGATAAGTAACTATTTCTGCAGTAGTATCAATGATACATCTTTGTCCTCTTTCTCAAGCTGCTATCATGTTACGAAACATAGTGTATGAACCTGTAGCCTGAAGAATCCCCCTGCCCTCTCCCAACTCCCCTGAAAATTTTGGTTTAATTAATTAGAATTAATAGTCGAGGGAAAGGGCAGCATTTCATGGCTTTACATCGGTTTCTTGTTATGCCACATACAATTGCACCGTTCATATGCTTGCATAGGAACAAAATTTGTTTCGACAGAAGACTTGCATTTATTGTTTGTATATGGTGAAGTACATAGAAGCAGTACTGTAGCGTCGGCAGGAGAAAAGTCCCCTTTTTAGCAAACCCTCATATTTGAGATTATTTGTTGATGTGAAAGTAGCAATATTGCCCTTTGTATTGCAGTACCAAAAGTTGTATTTTTGCTATGTTTTAGTTTATTAGAAAGAACTGTCTAATTCTCTTCTTTCTGTTGTTGGCTGGAAAATGTTACAGATCACTAGAACAGGGTAGAAACTTAACATGCAATTGGCTACCTTGAATCTTGGATAGTACTAGATGACAATGGCTAGCATTTAAGTTAGATTATATGATGGAACGATAGCACAGAAGTAATAGATTTTATAAAAGAAAAAGAAAACATTGATGTTACCAGCTTAATATGACAAGACATTATGCTTCCACTTCAAATAATTTATATATTTTTTCATTAATTGACACCTCAAAATAATACACCTATAGAGCACTTAAAATATGTAACCACCTTCTAGGAAGGGTGTTAACATCTTTCAAGCCTCCAACAGAACATACTAGCTACAAAATTTCGGATCAATGGGTTTTGTGGCTCTTTACAAATTTGTTTTTAGTTTTATGACCCTACATCTTTCTTTACACATTGAAGATTTACTTTTACACATAAGAGATATGTCTTTTATAGGTAAGAGATCTAAAACGGTCGTTTTCTTAAATTATAAATTGTAAAGGGGCATAATGTACAAATAGAACCAAAAATTTCTGAATCGAAAAATTACTCCTATAAGCTTTCTTTGAATACTTCAAATGATCTATCCTTTCTTTGATCTCCTGTTGAATCTGTGTTATAACTAACTCTGTATTAACAGTTGTCTCCTTAAACTGTTTCCAGTTTCTTGCTTTCCAAGTGTGGGATATGGATGTGCCTCAGAAAGCAGCTCAATTCAGACCTATTGCAGGTTGTGATGTTATCTATAAATACATTTCCAAGATGATTTGTAAGAGATTGAGGAAAGCACAATTGTTCCAATAGTAGCAGAGAACCAGGCAGCTTTTGTAGAGGCGAGACACTGGTGCATAATGTTATGATTTGCCGTGATCTGCTAAGACACCTCACCCGATCTAAATAGACCTAAGAAAGGCCTCTAACATAGTCAGCTGGGAGTTTATTGAGGAAGCTCTGAGAGGATATGGTTTCCCAGAGTCTTCTATTCAGTTGGTAATGACCTGCATCGCATCTACAAAGTTCATAGTTAAGGTGAATAGGTGTATTTTGTTGCATAGGTGTATTATTTGTTGCAAAATAGAAATAGTTTACTGCTAATTTATTGCAAAAGAGCTTGTTCAACACCAGATTTAAAAGCATGGCCCAGATTTATCTCCATTTTTTGGACAAAATACTAGTTTCAGCTGTGTCTTGGATAGCTAGAAAAGCAAGGATATAATTAATGAGGTTTCATGGCAGATCTTTGTTTCATTTATATAGTGATGTTGTTTAATTGAACATAAAGTTTAAGAAATAAATGGGAGCAGGATAGTAGCGCACTTAATGATACGGAGTATGTAGTTTTTGAGGTAGAAATTTCATGGGATTACCTATTTGCACAGTACTGTCATGAAATTTCATGGGATTACCTATTTGCACAGTACTGTCATGAAATTTCATGGGATTACCCATAGCTATTTAGATGCATGTTTCATTCCTTAATTTCCTTTCACTGAACAAAAACGATATCAAATAAAATTAACTGATTTCAAGCCTTTTCAAAATGCTGGTGTTCTATATGATCATCATAAAGCTCAACTCATTAGATACTATAGAAGTTCAATGAACACCGTGCTGAATTTCTCTATCATTTTCTTCTCCGTCACATTGGCCAATATATGATGCACTTACTCATACGCACAACGTGATTGCCCTCCGACCTACAATTTTTTTTTTTAAATATATATATTAGCACATACCTAACACATAGACCTTTCTTTACATAATGTGAAGTGCAATCAAATTGGAAAGAGTAAACTATGCAATAAGCCGATTTAACTTATATATGCATAAAGTTTAAAAAACTTATACACTATCAGGTTATTTAAAAGACAGAAATAACTATTATATATTATGTGTAAGTTGAAAATCCAAAATAAAAAGGTGAGTATCATGTACAATAGATTAAACTTTGGAAAAAGGCCATTATTGCCCCTGTACTATTGGAAATAATATACGTTTATCGTCCGTTTTATTTTATGTTCAATACCCATCCTACCGTTAACAAAGTTGATGTAATTGCCCCTAACCCTAACGAATGGTCGATGTGGTAGCTAACCCACTCCATTTTTCTAAGTCAGCTGCCAAGTCAGCTTTCCATTAAGTTGAAAGCCCCAAAACCTAACAGATTCTTCTTCTCCCAAATTAGATTGACCAAATTTCACTCCTAAAATTTTGACCCGTAACCCAACGTCTTCTTCTTCTCCCCCAAAAGACACTCCATTGCGGAGAACTTAGGGTTCGACTGAAATCTTCCCAAAATTTCTCTTTTCTTCATTCTCGTCGTAGCTTTGGTTGATAAATGTTACAAGGCAGCCGTTCCTCACAGATTAGGTGTCGCTGTGGCATTATAACCAACCACTTCACTTCGTCTACTCCATATAACCCTGGAAGAAAATCTATAAATGTCCGAGGCCTAAGGTTGTTTAATTTCAATTTTCTTATTTTTTTTAAGTTTAGTGTAATTATGAAATCTACAGGTTTAGAGTTTTATAATGATTAGCTAAATGTTCTTTTTGAATTATGTTTGACAACCTAGTTCATGTAGGTTTTGGAAATGGGAAGATAAAATCTTCCCGCAAAGTGATTGGACTAATATTAAAGATGTAACATCGTCAATGGATGAGGTTAAGATGCAAAGGGACAAATTGAAGGAAGAAGTAATTTCCATGAAGGCTATACACCAATATGAAGTGAATAAAGTCATCAAGTTTGAAGATAAACTTGCAAAGACAAGGATGCTGCTTATGATTTCTTGAGGACTATTTCTTGTTTTTTTTGCAGCCTCGATGATGAAGTGATTTTTTTGCAAAGACAAGATTGCTGATTTTGAGTTATATATGTGTAGCTAACTTTTAGGTCAATTAAGCCATGTTGTAGTAGTATTTGTTGCTTTCCAGCCATGTTCTGCATATTTGATGATGTTGGTGCAGTAGTATTTGTTGCTTTCCCTTAGTAGTATATGTTCTGCATATTTGATTGTTCTAAATGACATGTTGAATAACTAAGTCATTTAATTGCTTCCAATCCAATTCATTTGACATAAAAGACAGCAAGTGTAAAACTGAAAAACTTAAATTCCAGTTGCAAAAATGGTAACTAGATAATTGGAAAACTGAAATTGAAAAGGGAACAAAATAGAAAATTATAAACTAAACATTTATCAACAAACATTCACCTTGATTCATAATGTACCAACTATCAACATTCATAAAGTGCGCTTAATAAGACAACTGGATACCATATTATAACCCCAAAAAGATGTCAACACCTAGTTATAACATGGCATCCAACTGTCACAACTAAAGAACTGCAACCAAAATATAAAGTTTACTATCATGGCAGTAATTACAACACTTCCAAAAATTTACATCATAAAAGTTCACTAGAAGCAAATTTTCATCACTTCTGCTCCTTACCATTACCATTTCTTGCTTGTAACTTTGTCAACCTTTGTTTGTTCAACTGATTTCCAGTGATGGCAGAATTTTCCAGCCATGTTAGGCCTTTTATTGAGAAAGTAAGCTTCAATAGCTGAATTGCACCGCTTGAATCACCAACAAATCCAATTTGCCTGGTTGCAGTGGGTATACTTTATTGCCTCAGCTGGAGTCTTGTCCTTGCTTCTAAGATACTCTTTGGTCTTATAGCTATGTCAGGCTTAGGCTCAAAATTAGGGATCTTAAAATCTGGACATTCATTGCTAGTTGGAAGATGCCTTTGTACTGCAGGGGTTGGCATAAACACAAAGTTGCTGATTCACTAGCTTGACTATTTTGACTTGGCTGGGGTGCTGATAAATGGAAGTCATCTTCAGTTGGGATATCTGCAGCAGCTGGGAAAGATATAGGCTGTTCATTATCAGGTTTATCAACTAAAGTTCTTTATTATTTTTCTTGCTTTCCCCTTGTTTTGCCACTCTTTGGCTGTTTTCCTTTAAAGTGCTATTATCAACACACACAATTATATGTTAGAACAACGCAGAATAAAATAGAAGCATAAATTTATTGTTCAAGAGATAGATTACCTTGGCACATCCTCTAGCATTATGTCCAGGTTCTCCACAATTATTACATGTAATATACTCTTCCTTTTATGGATTGAGACCATTGCCCTTACCTATTAAGGGACTCATTTGTCTTTCTTTTTCTTTTTACTTTTGGGCTGCCAGCCATTTTTATAAATTCAAGTGGTTCCATATTTTGTGAGGGGTCTATCTTTCAGAACTTTTCTCCTCTCATAGGTTGTAACTTATGAGAATATTTGGAGATATGCCTCTTTGGAAAGGTACCAGTGAATATCACTTAAAGGGTCAACCTTCTTATACAGTAGGGCACAGATTGCATGAGGACATGAGATTCCACAAAGGACCCATGTCCTGCAAGTGCATTTTTTTGCCCCTAGATTCACAATGTGCCTATCACTACCTTCTGTTACTTCATACCCTTGGTCAGAACTGGCATTCACATGATACTTTTGTGCAATCCTCATGAATTGGTTATACAAATTTAGAGTCTTGGGACTGTATTCACTTCCCCACCCCACCACTTCAGTTTCATTATCAGTCAATATATTCATAACCTGGATTCTGATCTCCTCTAACATCTTTATAATTGGCTTGTGTCTGGCTTGCAATATCCATGCATTGAAGGACTCAGTCAGGTTATTATCCACTGACTGGTTCTAGGAGGTAGTGTGACGACCCGACCAGTCGTCTCATGAGTTACCGCCCCGTTTTCCCCATTTTTGCTTCTTTATGCTTTTTATCCGTGTTATGTGGTATTGGGTTGGTCGGATCGAATACGGAATGATTTTGGTAAGGTTTGAGACACTTAGTCTCTTTTGAGGAAGCTTAAGTTAAAAAATTCAATCGGATGTTGACTTATGTGTTAGAGGGATCAGATATGAGTTTCGATGGATTGGTTAGCTCTGGGAGGTGATTTGGGACTTAGGAGCATGATCGGAATGAGTTTTGGAGGTTCAGAGTAGATTTAGGCTTGAATTGACGAAGTTGAGATTTCGACGATTTCCGGTTGGTAGGCGAGATTTTGATATAGGGGTCGAAATGGAATTCCGAGAGTTTAGTAGTTCCGTTGTGTCATTTGTGATGTGTCTGCAAAATTTCAGGTCATTCGGACGTGGTTTGGTTGGGTTTTTGATCAAAAGCGGATTTCAGAAGATTTTGGAAAACTTAGGCTTGAATCCGATGTGTTTTGATTGATTTGATGTTGTTTTAGGTGTTTAGAAGATTGGTACAAGTTTGAATAAGGTTTTGGGATATGTTGGTGCCTTTGGTTGAGGTCTCGAGGGCCTCGGGTGAGTTTCGGAGGGTTGAACGGATCATTTTAAGTTAAAGAAAAGTTACAGATTTTTGTTTAAGCTGTTGCAGGTATTTTGCTCTTCGCGTTCGCGAGAGGACCCTCGCGTTTGCGAAGGGTCAGGAAGGGAGGCATCAGGTTTGGCCTTCGCGTTCGCGAGGGGGAGTCCCGCGTTTGCGAAGGGCTGGAATGGTAAGCATCGCGTTCGCGAGAGGCCTGACCACGTTCGCATAGGTTGGTGATACTGAGGCATCGCGTTCGCGATGGTGAGATCGCGTTCACGAAGAAGAGTTTTGGTCAATGATATTTTTGTGCTTCGCGAACGCGAGGCTTTGACCACATTCACGAAGAAGGAATTAAGACCTGGGCAGAATGTTTAAATATTCGTCTTGTCCGCAATTTTGGGGTTTATTTCTTCCATTGTTGGTCATTTGGAGCTTTTTGAAGAGGATTGAAGAGGGATTCAAGGGGATTCACTTGGAGGTAAGATTCTTGGACTTAAAACTCGATTCTAATGTGAATTCCACCTAAATAATCATGGAAATTAAGCCAAAAATTGAAGAACTAGGGCTTGGAAACTTAGACCTTTGATTGGGGATTTGAAGGACCATTTGAGGTCGGATTTCAGAACTTTTGATATGTATGAACTCGTGGGGAGATAAGGAATCTATTAATGTAAAAATTATCGAATTCTGAGATGTGGGCCCGGGGGTCGGGTTTTGGTAATTTCGGGATTTATGTTGTAAATTGATTATTTTTGCTTGGGCTTCGTTCCCTTAGCATATTTTGATGCCGTGATTCTAATTTGGATAGATTCGACGCGAGTGGAGGC